CTCCACATACACTGAAAGTATTATATCTTCCATAACTTTGATATTTCACTGGGTTTTCTGTCCAGCTCTCTCTCTCACACACACACACTATCCTACAGGACATACAGCATTTCCCCTTCCCCCATTCCGGTCTTTCAGAACTTCCAATAGAGTCATATCACATATTTTAAAAAACCCTAAAACCAAAACTTTTACAGACAGGAGACAGAAAAAAAATCGCACTATGGCACTACCCTTCTGTGGTTGATTCTGTGCTCTTATAGGCAAGAGGTTAGACTGATGGTAGCACTGCTGATGATAGCATCCCACATGTCAGAAAGGCTTTGGCGCCAGGCTAAAATTGCCAAGCAACTACTGGACAGAAGCTGTGTGTGTGTGTGAAACTGGCAGAGGATCTCTCAGAGACAATGGCAGTGGTACTACACCTAACAGTTGTTAGTACTGAACAGAAGGAGGCATAGTAAATGCCTTTTGAATATTTTTTACCATGAAAATGCTATGATGAGACAATCCAAAATGAAAAAAGAGATAGTGCCAGAAGATGACACCCCCAGGTCCAAAGTCACTCAAGAAGCACCGCAAGAGGAACTGAAAGGCCAGCGGAAGCTTTAAAACACCTGCCTTGCTGCCTCTCTCCACCAGCGCCGCGGGAGGAACTGAAGGCCAGCAGAGGCTTTAAAACACCTCAGGCGGAGACCTTGAAAAGACCGCCTTATTTCACCAGCATCCGGCAATGGGGCAGCTGCAGGGGCTACGAGGCTGGGAGGCTCGGGTGGAGACCTGCGGCAGTTGAGGCCAGGGAGCCTCGGATGCCACATCCTCCTTCCTCTAGCAGCAGCAGCAGTGAGATCGAGTACCGGGCTTGGGAAAGGGATTCTCCAGCTAGCCTATCCAGCCCACCACCATTACTATCTGGTACACCGCAGCAGTGGCGGTGAAGCTGGGAGCCTGACCGGGAGGTCATTTCTCCTCCCATCTGGGATGCAACAATAGCCGGGCAGAGACTGTGCACAGGTGGAACTTTAGGATGCTCTGCTCCTGCACTGTGGGACTCATGGACAATTGGAATGCAAAAACAGAAAACAGAGCAGAATCAAACATTGTCGCATGATTTTGTCTAGAATTAAGAAATGAAGCAGGAAAACAACTGGCTGAATTTTGTGAGGCCAACAGTTTGCTTATCACAAACATATTATTCAAGTAACCAGGGAGGTGACTGTATACATGGATATCACCTGATGGCCAATATAGAAATCAAGTAACTACATAATCGGAACTAGTAAATGGGGAAGCTCCATTCTCTCTGCAAAAACAAAATTAGGAGTATATTGTGGCATGGACAATGGATTGCTAATAGCAAATATTAGAATAAAGCTGAAGAAGAGTAGAACTATAGTGTGCAGATCAAGGGAAGTAATGGTACCACTCTTTTCTGGTTTGGTCGGACCTCACCTGGAATACCATGTCCACTTCTGGGCACTACAATCCAAGAAGTATATTGACAAAATATCCAAAAGAGAAAATATCAAATATCAAATATCCAAAGGAGAATGTGCCCAATGGAAGACGATGGAAATAGAGAATGGTCTGGAAAACATACCTTTAGTGGCTTAGGGAACCGGGTATGGTTAGCCTGGAGAAGATGAGGTTAAGAGGTGACATTATAGCTATGCTTAAATATTTCAAAAGAGGTCACTTTGAAGAAGAAGCAAGCTTGTTTTCTGCTGCTCCAGAGAATAGGAGATAGAGCAATGGATTCAAACTACAGAAGAAAAGTTTCCACTAAACTTTAGGAAGAAGTTCCTGGTGGTAAGAACTATTTGTCAGTGGAATGTGCTGCCTCAGAGAGTGATGGAGTTTCCTTTGGATATTTTAAAATATAAGCTGGATGGTCATCTGTCAGGAATGCTTTGATTGTGAGTTCCTGCATGGCAGGGGGTTGGACTGGTTCACCTTTGTGGTCTCTTCCAACTTTATGTTTCTATGATTCTAAAAACACTAAACCAACCATTGTGCCAACACAACTTGAAAAACATCCCCATAGAATTTGAAAAGGTAAAAGTATCCCCCGTTGACAAAGTTGTCAAGTTGTATCTGACTGTAGGGGGCGGTACTCATCTCCATTACTAAGCCAAAGAGCCAGTGTTGTCAGAGACTATTCTGTAATCATGTGGTCAGCATGATTGCACAGAACAATGTTTACCCTCCCACCAAAGTGGTACCTATTTATCTACTTGCATTTGCATGCTTTCGAACTGCTAAGTTGATAGAAGCTGGGACTCCATCATGCAGCACCCGGGCCTCAAACAGCCAACCTGCCGATCTCGCAATCAACAGAGTCAGTGTCTTAACCACTTGAGCCACTGCATCCCTTAAATTTAAATTTAATGTGAAAAATAGATATTAAGCCTAATTGGCCAGGAGCAAGAAGAACTCTGTGCCAAAGCATTGTCAGGAAAGAATGCAATAAGATTATCTTCAGCCAAAAAGAATGAGAAGCCTGAAAGCATGAGAGATTAAACTCTTCAAGCAGTTAAGGACACATGAGAACCAAAAGTAAAAGGTGACAGAAACAGGTTCAGAATATTGTGTTCAGGAATAAAAACAACTACTATAACTATCAATGTAGAGAAATAATGAATAACAACAGAAAGGCAGAAGAAAAAAACCTCTTCCACAAGACTGAAAAAATCAAAAGGAATATTTCAGGACGGGAGAAAACTCAAGAGCACAGCCAAGGACAGATGTATCAAGATTGGAATCTACATATCCCTTCACTGATAGGACCTTGAGTTTACACATGAACAGAAAACAAAAATGCTTCCCTTGGGAGAAGAGACTCCACTGTCCAGTGACATTTGCACTGATTCTACAGCCATTTACAGACTTCCAGTTCTAATCTTTTCTCCTGTGAACTTCATCTTAATCCCAAAACTGTTAAAGGCAGAGGATGCATCTTTAGGCACAAGAAGGGCTAAATAGACCGCCTCTTTGGAGTGTGGTCCCACTGCCACTTTCCTCACTGGGCCGGGGATGCAACAACCGCATGCCATGCCCCCAGCCCGGACTCCTTTTCACACCAGGGCAAAGTTTTTTTCTGGCTTTTTGCAGCACCGGCTGTGCAGGTGCTGTGTTGCAAAAACACAGAAACGCCGCCCGCAGTGTGGTCAGGTGTGCAGTGTGATGCCAGTGTTGGGGCATGCGGTGTGCAAACGCCATGCCCCCACTCTGCCCAGAGGCCAGTGTTTAATGCCGGTCTGTTCAGCCCCTACAATAAACAAACAGCTAAAGGCAACACTGGATTAAAAGGACCCTTTGCGCAGAACATAACATTATATATCCTTCAGAACAGGAAAATATTTACCTTATCCTTTTCTAAGCCAGTTTCTGGATAGAAGACAGAGAGTGAATATTCATACCCACATCTGCGCAGGTGATCTGCCACCAAACTGTTTGAAGCACCAATTATCAATGAACTGCACTCATTAGAAACAGCTTGTGGTTGAATTTCTCCACTTAAAACTGGATTCATTAATTCATGTATGAGCTGGTTTCGAAGATGTGTCTGGTAAATAGAAAAATATTATGTTATTACTGTCACTTTGTGATGCTTTCTGAGGAAAGGAGTGGAGCACAAACTTTAAATGGAATAAAAAGAAAATTTAAGATATTGTTAAATTTATATAAAACTGTGTTACATAGATTTTATTTAAACAGCCATATAAAATGATTGCATTTTTTTTTAGGTTGGCAGCCTTCTTTCAGTAAACGTGTCTGCTGCTCAAAATGCATAGAGGAACACTTGATTCAGATCTGGCAGCTGACAAACTCAGGAACACAACATGCAAAACTGTCTATGATGAGTCCTTGACTGCTAATCTAAAAGGCATGAACTTCTTTAGTTTTCAATCCAATTCCTTACAGAAAATAGTAGAAGCTTCATCTGACAAAATTAAAGTCTATTCTCAATATAACACATAACTATTTCCTTTGTATTTTTTTTCTTACATGGTATGCTTATTTTGGACCACTTAAGATCAGATCTGGACAACACTTAACAGAGCTGCTACATTTACTGTACACTCAATCCCACTCACAATTTATTTGTGTTTGAATAACCTCACCAGTGAGATACCAAATTTTACAAATATGTAAAACTAAGGCTATCCTGATTTTTGTTATATTTAAATAGAAACCAACCAACCAACCTTGAGTGTGTCTAGGACGCCTCGGTTCTTAAATGTCTGGTACAGCCTTTTCCGGAGTTCATCTTGTGATAGAACCTTGAACTCATTTGCAGACATGAGGATCTGAAAACATGAGCCAACAAAACTACTAATTTTACTGACATCCATAAAGTCTATAACATAATTGACATAATGAATTTGACAAGAGAAATGCTGCCAGCTATTTTACAGCCTAATCTCATGCCAGAATTGTACATACATCCAAGGAAGCAATGTTAGACAACCTTATTTCTGTATGTCTCACACAAGAGACAGCATTGAGGTATTGTGACAAAAAACAAAAACAACTGGAAATGTCAAGCTATAGAAGACTGCTTTGCCAATTCAGACTAAAAACTACATATAATGAACTATTAACAGAATATAAACAGTCCTATTCAGAGAAAAGAGAAAGAAGCATAAAAGCAAACATTTTTTCCAGGAAGCGGTTGGATCTTTACTGACTTGTCTCAGCTACTGACAGTATCTGAAAAACTGCTAAATTAGGTGGGAGCAATACATTTATTTTGTACTGTCAAGAATTTATTAAAATGAATGTTTTTAAAAAAGAAAGAAATAATATGGCACGTGTGAAAGAAGAGATGCAAAACAATGTGTTCAAAGTTTTGAAATTTTTTTAATGAACGGATGCCCTAAGCCCCAGGTCAAAGCTTTATGTTGTTCATGTCATGAATCAAATGCAGGGACAGGAGACTACATATTCTTACCCTGGAGGACCTGTTGTTATCAGAAGAGTTTTGATATTTATGGAAAGCCGGGGAGGCCTAGTGGTTTGAGTGTGGGTCTATGACTCTGGAGACCAGGGTTCGATTCCCAGCTCAGAAATAGAACTAGAAACCCACAGGGTGACCCTGGGCAAGCCACACTCTCTCACCCGCAGGGGAAGGCAATGGCAAACCCCCTCTGAAGGAAATCTTAGCATGATAGCTTCACCAGCTTATGGGTCCCCATAAGTTAAAAACTACATGAAGGCACACAACATGTTGACATTTAACATACTTAGGGCCTTTGCAGACTGCCAGAAATAGTGCACATTAAATT